TTACGATTTTGTTCCAATACGTTAGAACCCTTCTTGTGTATCTCTATCGTTGTTTCGATTCCTGATAATTCTGGCATGTCGATGTCCATGAATATGATGTCATATGTTTCCTTGGATAATTTTATGAGAGCTTCCTTGCCACTTATCGCGCAGGAGGTGTTATGACCGAATTCTTTGGAGAGTATCTTTGAGAGTACTTTTGCCGTTATAACGTTGTCGTCCACGATCAACGTTCTCACACAATTTGACATTGAAATTGCCGCCATCCCTGCTGATGCTGCCGCGACTGTTGATTCTGAAGTGGTGGTGGCGGTTGGGGTGGTGGGTGAAGCAACTGGCGAGCCAGAAATGTGAAGGTTATTTGAATTGCAGGTGATGGCTGGCATTATTATACTTTTACGTTCCAGGATTTTAACTTGAAATCTTTTAAATTGTTTGTTGTTGTTTGATTGATTTTTGAAGAGATCACTTTCTCGTCTCTCTTGTCGTCTTGTTAAAAAATTGAAAAGTTTTTTTATTAAGGTGAGGATGGTTTCGAGGAGTTGTTCGTTAGTTATATTAGAACAAGCAAGCATTAAAGCGGTAAGAGAAAATTTTGTCAAAGTTTTTCTTTGGTAAAAAAAAAAAAATAAAAAAAAAATATTATTTTTTTTTTATTTCGTTAAAACGTTATACTTTTGCGACAAAAAGTGAAGTGAAAAAAAAATTGTAAAATACGAATAGGGAGACCATGGCTCATTATATATAAATTTTTCAAATAGTAGTATTACTTTATAAACAATAATATATTTATACACCATATAAATAATACTGTAAAAGAAAAATTTAGACTATATAACATAAATAATAATGCGAATATATTGGTAATATAAAATCATACATAAAATACTTTTTTTTGATCATCACATCATTTTCCATCCAACATTTCCGAAAAATTATTTTCCTTTTTTTTTTTTTTTTTTTTAAAGGGGTATGTAAATTGTTTGAATATGTGATGCTTTTTTTAGTGACACAGGTTTTCATCACATTAGACCACATTGTGAAATGTGGCGGATTTCTCAACCTCGATTGCGGACAACACCAAAATGGGATTATCAAAGTTCAACGAATCAGATCGTAACTAATTTTTTGGTCGCCTTCTGTGCCACCTTTACATTTCACCATGAATTCGGCAATGATTGGCCAACTGGAAGTGGTAAACCATTAACCGTATGGTGAAATGCTCCCCTGGTTTCTTAAAATTATTCCTTTCACCTTTTGCTTCCGCTTTTTTTTTTTTCCTCTGTCATGGATTTGCAAAAGGTCAAAACGTTTTAAACCATTATGTCACGGTGATTGACCGTACGAAAGCGGAATATGAATAAAGACTGTGGTAGGAACCCTTTGAAAAGGTTATTGTTATTTAGGGTGATTCTTGGAAGGGATCATCCAACTTTTTTCCAAAGGAACAATCTATTTGTTCATGGTATACATACGCCCTACGAGTTGATGACTAAAAAATCGAAGATTTTTACCCTTTTCGTTCTGCCAGTTTCTAGATGGGGAAACCCAACTCTCCATGAAACAAATCATCTTATACGAACGAAAGGATTTAGGGAGTTTTATTAGTTTTTTTTGTTTTTTCCTTTACCGACGACATGAAAAAAAAAAAAAAAAAAGATGATGTGCGTCCCGCATTGTCCCATACATACATCATTCCATTCATCAAAAAGAAATTGCTTGAAAAACACAAACATTAGCGAGTTATTTTTAACCAAGCACTAAACAAAGAAAGGGAACATAAACGTGGCGAAAAAGGGTGCATGTACCGCATGCGTTGGCGCAGAAAAAGGATTCCTTAAGCGCAAAACATGACTCACTATCACACAGGCACAACATGCTACCATATACAGTATCTTTCCCTTTCAAATCTTTGAACTTCCAAGTGTGGAAATTCCATACGTCCGATCATTGCAAACCTCATTCATTGAAAGGTTTAAGTCTTGAGCAAACGCTTAATTGTCTAAATTTAGACATTTTTTTTCTTTTGGGTAATTGATTATTCTCTGTCCGATGTCCCTTGACCTCTCTCATTATATACCCGACTTTTTGCAAAAAAATAAAAGGAAGGTGGGACTACTCGTCAAGAGCTTTGACACAAGGTAAACAGGTAAGCTAATTCACATGCATTTTCTCTCCCTTTTTTGTTTTCCTTGTAAGAAAAAAAAAAAAAAAAAAAATTTAAGAATATTATCTAATTGTAGATCGGGAAATTATTTTTAACATTTCTGTGGTTAATCCAACCTGTCAAAAAAAAAAAAAGAATCACTTTTTAGTAAACCCATCGCAAATCGTTCAAGACCCCGAACTTGCTCCCCGTGAAATAGATATCACAATTGTCTCCGTCACCCAACATCAGGCGCCACAACATTTCTCATCACAATTGCTGCTTTTGGATTAGATTCCCATGTTCTACCGCAGTTTGCACCGCAGTAGCCGCATTCGTTTTATTTGTTTACCAAAAAGTACAAATAGTATTTATTTCTGAAGAAAATTTCCCATTGATTGATTGAAAATTTAACCAATAGACTATTTCCCGACCTAAATTTGGTTCAGAATTCAAATGATTTCGAATTTGGTTTAGTCTCTTACCATAGTCATCCGGACGGTTGCAAAAAAGGTGGCATCGTTATTTCTCTTAAGGAAATTCGAGCGACAAGAAATTGCTAGAAATGTCACCGAAAAAAAAAGAGTCGCAACCTTGTAACACATTATGGACAATATTCTTGCATTCGACAATTATCTCCATTATCGATATGAACGAATTTTTTAGTAACAATTGTCGTAAAAAGTCTTCTTTGTGCTTTCCTTGGGATTTTCCGCATGTGTGAATATTGTGATCATGTATCAGAATATCTGAAAAGATAAATATTTTTATTTTTTTGCGACAAGAGAATTTAAAAATTGTTTTACTTAATAATACACATGATCGATCAGGAAGTTCCCGAGTCAGATAAGGGTAGGGACACTTGATAGTTGAACTTCTAAGCGTTGTACTGGATATATTTATTTATATTAAATGACGAAATAACAATTAAAGCTTGGATGTTATCTCTTCCAATGAAGTAAATTTCTGAAAATCCTTCAAAATGCTCTATCCCTAGATGGGATGTCGGCAGGTGAACGATCAAATGACAAGCGCATATGTGATGGGGTGCCCACAAAACTAATAAATGTGCCCCCTCACCATCCTAATTTCTATTTCATATATGTTACGTATTATCCTGCGCTTTATATCTCTCAGGTAACAAATAATTTCCCCATCGGTCATTCCATTAACTGTTTACGATCATTGGTTTTGTTTGGTATCCGATTTCATAATATCTAATTTAAACCATCACTCTCATTTCATTCTTTCTCAACTTCAAAGTCAGGTTTTACGCCTAAATTTGTCTTGGGGTCTATCCGATAAAGAGAAAATCTAAAATTGTAGAGGAATGGGAAGGTTAAACCCTCGGAAAATTAGACTTATGTAAGTCTAAGATCGCTACACTGAGATGAACTTGCGGATCATTTTGTACTTTGTAACAATAAATAAAAAAATTTTTTTTTTTTGTTCTTTACCCTTTTTTTTTTATTTTTTTTTGTTCTCATAAGGGTAGGGGTAAAAAGTGAGGATAACATTTGTAAGTACAGTTTAAGTTTAGAGTTGAAAAATTTTTTATTATTATTATTTAATACAACTTGATATGGTTTGTCTTTTTGATTTAAGCAAAATAAAAAAAAATCATTTATCACAAAAAATATTATTCTCCATTACAAATCATGAACCGTAGCGTATGCGAATTTTTTTCCCTTATTATCTTTTAGGTTTCACAACAAATCCAGTTTCGGGTTATCAGCTTACTTTATCAAACTTTTGAATATCAAACATCCCAAAAATTTAGATGGATAGCAACTTGAAACAATACGATAAAAAAAAAATCAGTAAAATGGGGTGGGATTTTTAAAATTTTTTTTTTTTCGAATACGAAAAAAAAAAGTTTAAGTGAAATAAACAACAACGCCCATTTTTTGTTTATCAGATTTATCAGAATGTCAACAATTTGGGTAATTTTTTTCCACAACCTTATGTGGCTTTTTAGGTTAAACAGCAGAATGCCAATTACTTGAAATCGATATTTCTATGGGGAATTTTATATTTCGACATCTTTGGCTAGTTTCTTCGCTCGTCACATGAATCTGGTGACAATTTAAAGGGCACGTGTTACCCTTCATTATTATCGATGTCACCATTTGGGAGATTGGTTAACGTCGGCCCGCAAATTTTCTTGTTACATAAACCTACTTCGGTAAAATTTTGAGCCGTGATTATCAGTTAACAACTATGAAACGTGAGAATTAACAATTTCAGCCCCCGAACATTTCATGCATAAACAGCATTATCGCCAAGACTATTTAATTAATTCGGAATAATTCCAAGGCTTTAACCAATTTCCAGTATAATAATTAAAAATTCATTCGGCTAACCCAAATTTCATTCCGAATTTATCAATTTTCATTCTTTCAAACGAGAAATATTCTGTATGTAAATCCCGGATCTTTTTTTTTTTTTTTTTTCATTTTATTGAGATATAAATTCCCTTTTTAGCTTTTTTTTTTTTCTAAATGAAGAGCTGTCAAAGGTGATTGGCATGTTCTAACCTATTACGTGACAATTGTGATATATGCCCCATTATAATTTCCAATTATGATTTATTATGTCTATTTTAATATTGGGTTTTTTTTTTTTTAGAAACTCGATTTTGGAAATTGAATGAGAATTTTCTTTTTTTGTTTTAAAATCGTTTTTTAAAATAGAATAATATATCAGTTTCATTTGGTAGTCCCGAATTCATTAACTTGAATAAGAGCTAAAGAGAAAGAGAAGAAAATGATTTTTTTTTTTTTTAACCGAAATCTTTTAAGTTACGCAATACGCAACTTTCGAAAGTTGTCGAGGGTTAAAAATGGTTGGGAAATTATAGAATTCATCATTAGAATCAAAAAATTCAATTGATAAAAATAATCTAAAAATAAGTCAAATTCGTACTTCTCACATGTAAAAAGATCCTCACATAATTGGTTTTCCGGTTCGTGAGGAAGATCGTGAGGAAATCATTTACCAAGATGTACCTTTTTTTTTTTTTTTTAATAAAGGGATTTTTTTCGCGGATTTTTTTTTCAGGAAAAGATGTCATAAGATCTTAAGAATTTTGTTTTCAGAAGCTGAATTTGAAATCCCCAT